CACAGCCTGCTTGTGAAAATATTAAGTTCTGAAATCAACACATTGATTCTCTTACTGATTAGGTTGCACTACTCAGTAATAACAGCCACAATTCGAGAGAAGTGATGGACAAATAGAACTGAATGTTGCCAGTTGTTCACAAGGAGCCTGTCGATGACTTGTTGAAGGGCAGCTTTCAGGTGAAGATGAGGGCACATAGTTGAAGTAACTCTATGCGTGTACAGCGTCCCATCACCAAGTCACTCTTTATTTACACCTGCTTCGTATATAACACTAACCCAGCTCCCTCAGAGCCAGCTCCTAGAGTGAACAGAACCCCTGACACTCCTGTTTATATCTGTCAGCCAGGGCTCCCTGATAGGACCAGATTAACAGCCTCAATCAGGGAACTCATATTCTATGACATCCACCTGGCTGACCTTGTTATAATAACTACAATACAGGTAGTTCTGCCAAAATGCATGTTTTGTTAACGCAAATTGGCTGTAACGCGATTGACGAATAGTGGACGCTGTTTGGATAGTGTGAACTTTCTGCTGTACAGGTATAGCGATTTTCTGTGGCGATTTCGTTATAACACGATTTTCTATTGTGATTTTCTACAGCGCGAGGTCACATAAGAACACAACTATCACATTATAAGGAGAACTACCTGTAGTGATGTTTGAATTACATAAAATTTGGAATTAAAGCTAACTAATGCCCTTTAGGAATGGAAATCTGTCATCTTTATCTGCTCTGACATATATGGGACTTTTAACTGGACCCAGGCTAAATAAATGCTGAATGGCAGTACTTTTATCTCCAGTAACAGTCTTACTCTCTTTCATTTGAATTTTTCCCTCTCGTCTGCTTTCAACACCCTTCATCCCCTCATCCATCACACTTTAAAGTCTGAGGGGCAGAGGCTTGAGCTTACCTGCTACACAGTAGTTTTAGCCATGATCCAACTGGACCTTTCAAGTCCCTCACTGTCAAACACACACTCATCACTCCAGGATCATCCTTGAAGGAAAACTCATACAAAGAGATGATCTTTATCCTTAAGACTGACACCAGTGGCTGGATTTTATGCCCAGTGAGAGGGTCCCACAGATAAATGCAGGCATATTTTCCCATCTCACTTTATCTCATGGCCTAGCAACGATTTAACGTCAGTCACTTTCAGGCAAGACATCAGCTCCAATCTGGTTATTTCTGTAAACGAGCCTTTCTTTGGCATGGAACAGAAGCAGGCCAAACACATTTTATCTGCATGATAAGCAATTTGCCAACCATTTCTGATTTGTTCCAATTGTGGTCAGGACCTTGATGCATGTACTTAGTAGTTAAAACACCTTCACTGGAAATGGCTACACTTGAAGTCGCCCCACGAAGGACACATTCAGCAAAACCAGAGTTAACAACAAGATTCCGATCAGTCACATTCCTGACAGAGACACAACTGACACAATGCCGCCAAGAGTTTAAAACATCTCTTATTTCATGATAATCCTCATGAAAGAAAAGTTTTAAAATGTTTGAATAAAACATTGATTTAAACAAAATTACCCCTACACAGATATGTAAAGATTTACAAGGAAGTTGCCGGGGTTGGAAGGTTTGAGCTATAGGGAGAGGCTGAGGGGTAACCTTATAGAGGTTTATAAAATCATGAGGGGCATGGATAGGGTGAATAGCCAAAGTCTTTTTCCCAGGGTAGGGGAGTCCGAAACTACAGGTCATAAGTTTAAGATGAGAGGGAAAAGGTTTAAAAGGGACCTAAGAGGCAACTTTTTCAAACAGAGGGTGGCACGTATATGGAATGAGCTGCCAGAGGAAGTGGTGGAGGCTGGTAAAATTACAACATTTAAAAGGTATTGGATAGGTATATGACTAGGGAAGGATATGGGCCAAATGCATGCAAATAGGACTAGATTAATTTAGGATATCTGGTCGGCATGGATGAGTTGGATCAAAGGGTCTGTTTCCATGCTGTACATCTCTATAACTCCATGAATCTATGTGCACAGTACTTATTAGGAAACTTTAATTTGTTTCAGAGACAGAGTCAAAACCTACTGAAGTAGCTGACTGTTTCACAGCATTGGTGAAATAAATTGTATTTCTGCTGTTTCCCCTGAGCATGTATGAGAAGGAAGAATTGCCAAGTGAAATGAATAAGTCATGAAGATACTTTTGAATTTTCCTAAAGGAAGTTTCAATTATTAAACAAAAATTGAGTTGATGTTGGTTTTCTCTCATGACTGGTGCAAACCTCTCCACCCCTCTCACTCACTCCAACCTCTCCTCCACGGAACATGCAGCCCTCCGCTCCCTTCATATCAACCCTAACCTCACCATCAAACTCGCAGGTAAAGGAGTCACAGTAGTGGTCTGGTGCACTGACCATTACGTAGCTGAGGCCCAGTGCCAACTCTCTGACACCTCCTCCTACTGCCCCCTCAATCATGACCCCACCCCTGACCACCAAACCATCGTCTCTCAGACCATTCATAACTTCATCACCTCAGGTGACCTCCCACCCACAGCCTCCAACTTCATTGTTCCCCAACCCCGCACCGCCCATTTCTATCTCCTTCCCAAAATCCACAAACCCAAATGCCCTGGCCGATGCATTGTATCTGCCTGCTCCTGCCCCACTGAACTCATCTCCGCTTACCTTGACTCTATCTTCTCCCCCCCGGTCCAGGAACTCCCCACCTACGTCCAGGACACCACCCACGCCCTCCACCTCCTCCAAGACTTTCAATTCCCTGGCCCCCAACACCTCATCTACACTATGGACATCCAATTCCTGCACACTTGTATCTCCCATGCAGATGGCTAAAAGCCCTCCGCTTCTTCCTCTCCCGCAGGCCCAACCAGTCCCCCTCCACTGACACCCTTATCCACTTAGCCAAACTCGTCCTCACCCTTAACAACTTCTCCTTTAACTCCTCCCACTTCCTACAGACTAAGGGGGTGGCCATAGGCACCCGCATGGGCCCAAGTTATGCCTGCCTCTTTGTAGGATACATGGAACCGTCCCTCTTCCACTGCTACACTGGCCCCATCCTCCACCTCTTCCTCCACTACATCGATGACTGTATCAGAGCTGCCTCGTGCTCCCACGAGGAGTTGAACAGTTCATCAACTTTGCTAACACCTTTCACCCCAACATTCAAATTCACCAGGACCATCTCCAGTACCTTTCCTGGATCTCTCTGTCTCCATGTCTGGTGACCACCTCAAAACTGGCATCTATTTCAAGCCCACCGACTCCCACAGCTACCTAGACTACACCTCCTCTCACCCACCTTCCTGCAAGAATGCGATCCCCTACTCCCAATTCCTCCGCCTCCATTGCGTCTGCTCCCAAGATAGGGCGTTCCACTCCCGAACATCCCAGATATCTTCCTATTTCAAAGACATAACTTCCCCCCTCCAGTCATCGAAAATGCCCTCAACTGTATCTCTTGCATTTCCTGCACCTCTGCCCTCACATCCCCTCCCCCCAACAAAAATAAAGACAGAATCCCCCTTGTCCTCACATATCACCCCACCAACCTCCGCATCCAACGTATCATTCTCTGCTATTTTTGCCACCTACAATCCAATCCCACAACCAAAGAGATATTTCCCTCCCCACTGTTATCTGCCTTCCGTAGGGACCTCTCTCTCCACGACTCCCTCATCCACTCCCCACTAACCCCACCACCCCCAACACCTTTCTCTGCAACCGCAGGAAGTGCTACACTTGCCCCCACATCTCCCCCTACACCTCCCCCCTCACGTCCATTCAAGGCACAAAACAAACCTTCCACATCAGACAGGGGTTCATCTGCACATCCTTCAACTTAGTCTACTGCATCCGCTGTTTCCGATATGGCCTCCTCTACATCGGTGAGACCAAACACAGACTCAGAGACTGTTTCGTAGAGCACCTGCGCTCTGTTCACGACAAACGACAACACTTTCCAGTTGCAAACCATTTTAACTCCCCCTTCCCACTCCCTGGGTGACATGTCTATCCTGGGCCTCCTCCAGTGTCACAATGACGCCACTCAGAAACTGGAGGAGCAGCACCTCATATTCCGCCTCGGCAGCCTACAGCCCAATGGTCTAAACATGGATTTTACCAGTTTTAAAATCTCCCCACCCCCAGCCTCATCCCATGACCAACCCTCCCTCTCATCCCTGTCTCCTTGACCTGACACAACCTGTCCATCTTCCTCCCACCTATCCACTCCTCCCACCTCATTGACCAATCTCCATCACTGCCTACCTGCACTCACCTATCACCATCCCACCTACCTTCCCCAGCCCTACCCCTCCTCTCTATTTATTTCTAAGCCCCCTACCCTCTCCCAATTTCTGAAGAAGGGTCCCAACCCGAAACGCCAACTTTCCTGCTCCTCTGATGCTGCCTGGCCTGCTGTGCTCCTTCAGCTCCACACCGTGTTACACAAAATGCTTCTCTGCAAATTCCCTTTGTCATGCCTAGAAGGCACAAAGAGAGATACTGAATTGATGTTCTTTAAATCTACATTCTCTTGTTTGATTTTTTCAAAAAAATAGACTCTTTGCTGGAGTGACAACATGACTGTCACCAATCACATAAGTATTGACCAGCAGTTACAATGAGACAAATGCTTACATCATCCTCCTGGAATGTCACACTCCCTGAACTGTATAGACATTCCAGTCAAGACAATGCAAAAGAACTGCAGATGAGATGTCAGTGTCAGACAGTTCTGAAGAAAGGAAGAACTAAAAGGTCCTTATGTCTGAGACAGTACTAATGACTCTACTAATTTCTAAAGAAGGATCCAGACCCGAAACGTCAGCTTTCCTGCTCCTCTGATGCTGCTTGGCCTGCTGTGTTCATCCAACTCTACACCTTGTTATCTCTAATGACTCTGCAGTTATCTACTGGAGAACAGTTTTTGTTGGGGGATGGATCAAACCACCTTGTTAGCTGAGTGGCTCAACCCTAGTCACATGACTGAAACTGCTGGCCTTTTCAAAATAACTTTAATCGCAGCTTTTGATTTCTTCCTTTAATCTGATTTTTACATTAGTATTGCAAAGAGCAAAGCAGCTCTAGGCTTAGGCAAACCTTAAGGTTTGGCCACTCACAAAATCTGATTTCCAAAAACAATCCTGTACTTTGCCTGAAAAATGAATTAAATGCTCAGAGTGCAAAATTATATTGATGTGCTCTCAGCTACATCTGCTTGCATCTGAGATTCCACTAGAAGGAATTCCACCAGACTAACCAACTGCAAGAATTCACAGAATACTGACTTCCTGAACTCCATTTCATGTGAATTAATGTCACTGCCTTACCTTTTTTTAAAGTAAGTAATTCATAACTGGAACTTTTCTTTCTTTCTTTCTCTATTTCTTATAGAAGTTTATAAAATAATGATGGATATAGATAGAGTTAATGGTAGTTGTCATTTCCTCAGGATGGCGGATTTCAAGACTAGGGGGCACATTTTTAAGGAGAGAGATTTAAAACAAGACATAAGGGGCAAATTCTTTACACAGAGAGTGGTTCGCGTGTAGAATGAACTTCCTGAGGAAGTGGTAGATGTGGGTACAATTACAATGTTTAAAAGATGTTTGAATAAGTACATGAATAGAAAAGGTTTGGAGGGATATAGGCCAGGAGCAGGCAGGTGGGTCTAGTTTAGTTTGGGATCATGTTTGGCATAGACTGGTTAGACTGAAGGGTCTGTTTCCGTGCTGTATGACTCTATGACTCTATGACTTCCGCCATCCAAGTTATTAATACATATGGTAAATAATTGTGGCCTCAACACTGATTTCTGCAGCATTATTTCAACACACTGACTTCTATTAGTTAGCCAATCCTCTATCCATGCTAATATACGACACCCAACACTATAGGCTCTTATCTTATTAAGAAGCCTTATGTGTAGTACCTTAACACCTTTGGAAATCCAAATATATTATATCTATTGGTTTCTCTTTACTTACCCTGCCTGTTACCATCTCAAATAACTCTAAAAAAGTTCTCAAGTGTGATTTCGTCCTTCATGAAGCCATGCTGGCTCTGATTGATTAGATTGTATATTTCTAAATGCTTTGCTAGTACATCTTTCATAATGGATTCTAACATTTCCTCAATGACAGATTAAACTGACTGGCATATATATATGTTTCTTTGTCTCCCTCCCTTTTTGAATAAGAAAGTTACAGTGACAGTTTTCCAATCCTCTGGAAGTTCTGAGGATTCTTGGAAGATTACTACCAGTGCATCCATTATCTCTGAAAGTACTTCCTTTAAAATCCTAGAAAGGAATCCATCAGATCCAGGGAACATTGCAAAATCAGGAACTAGAAAACTGATCAACAGCTTCTTACAATATGTGGAGGATAACCGCATGTAAGGGCTAATATCAGATTGATTAGAACAATGGAGAGGCAGTAACTAGCAAATAGACAGGCAGCAAAATGACATGAATCCTTGTTTTAATTTCATCTCATTGCATCTTGAAACACTAGGCAGCCACAGTTCGGATTGATCAGTAGTTAAACAAAGATGCTGACGTTTTCATGGTCCAGGGATAGAAGGGTTGCTAGGGCAACCAACTCTACAGGAGGCAATAAAACAGTCTACAGCTAACTTATTCCCTAAATTTAAAAACAGAAACCATGTTCACAGAGCAATTTGTAGAATTAATACAAGAGCAGAGGCTGTGGTTTGATGACAATGTAATTGGATGCATTATTAAGAGATTTTGTCTAATGCTCTAGAGCAAAGGTTCAAATCCCACAGGAGATGATGGGCTTTAGTTTCAATTAATTAATTTGGAATCAAAAAGCTCGTCTCATGGTGACCATGAAACCATTGACCAATTGTCATAAAACCTGTCTGGTTCACTGATACTCTTTAGGGAAGGAAATCTGGCCTGCATGTGGCTGTAGATTCCCAGCAATGTGGATGACTCTTAAATGTTGTTATGGACCAGACCAAATCCCCGCAAAATATATTAAGAGGATAGCCTAGACCCTAACCTTTTCTTATTTTAAAGGTAGGTGTAAGGTGTTGTGTTCCAGATGCAATTCAATTGGTCAAACTACCAGTCTTGAAACAAGACACACACATCATTCAAACACTATAATTAAAATACAGACAAAATAAAAAAAAAACAAATTGGTTTAACTGTAATTCTATCGAAATGCTTAACAAAAATAATATACATATTAACTACTATTGATTAACTGTTCCAATATAGTAACATCCCATAAACACAATCTTGGCAAAGGCAAATTCAGTAAAATAGATTTTCTCACATGCAATTCTCCAGTCCTGGAGGAAAAACATCAAAACAAAACTCTGAGAGAGAGAGTAGCAGGGAGAGATGTACTACAGCTTCTAACCCCAGCTTCAAGACCCCACAACAACTGCTACTGAAAAAACTAAAGCTAAATATCCTGAGCTTGTCCCCACCTATTCAGGCTGCTTCTATTCCAAATTTAGAAAAAAAAACCTAAGCCCTCACAAACTGATTACTCTATGGGCTTTGAAGCAGACCGCTTATCACCTGTCTCAATCTTTCTTTATAAAAAAAGAGGAATAAATATACCTTTCAAAGCCATAGTGTTGTCACAATGTCTTCTGAAAATATCAAGCTACTACAAAGTCTTAAAAAACAGAATGAAGGCGTACAGCCCGCTCGACATCGACCCAGGCACAGAAAACACAGATGTATGGACCCTGCAAAGTCTTCCCTTAGAAACAAAACTGAGAAAATTGTGCCACTAGACTTGAAACAGGCATTAGGAACCGAACACATGAAAATCAGAAAGCTGTCTGTTATAGCCAAACTAAAATTGCAGAAGCGAATGCTTCTTCACACACTTCCTTCTCCTGCCAACACAAAATACAGCTGAAAACCAGAAAATCTAGCCTGCACCTTGGCACCTTCATGAACATTTTTTTTCGCTGTCTTTTTTTAACTCAAGATATTCAGAGAATGGGATTCAATAAATCATTTCAAATACTTCATGTGAATGCAAGTTGCTTTTAAAATTGCCCAGTTTGAACATTTCAGAATTTTACAGGCCACTAAATGTCCTCCATCTGTTCCATTTATCACACAGTGGAGCATCATAGTGATGTGTGCCTGCACAGACAGGATGAATGTGGTTCACAGAACATTCTGCCCCACCTCACACCTGCCCAAAGTGTTTTGTCTTATAAGAAGGCAGGTGAGAAAAATTCATTCAATCCCTTGCCTTGAGTCACAAATCTCTTTTCGCACAAAGCAAGCAGAATAAGCCTGAAACTCACTACAGATGTATAAACACATTTAGATTTTCCCTGAGCTAAACAGGAATGTCATTAAAGCAAGACACCAGAGAATAGCAGATGGAGAGACGGTTGCTACTAGGTGTAGAATTCCTCACAGCAGACAGGACAAGAGGGACCTAATTTCAATTGCCACATATCAGCTTCTACACCCTCTTGAGGACTTATTTGTGGATTCAAAATGATTTGGGATTTAAATAGAAAATGCTGGATATACACAGGTGGTGTCTGAAAACAGAAAAGATAGGTTAATATCTCAACTTTATTTGCTCCGGTTAAGTCTTTGCTGCAATAGCTTATTCATGTTCAGAAATGGCTGGTAATTGCCATTATGGACCTGTTATGAACTTGCATCTTTAATTTTTGCTTTGAATTGGTAACATGTTCAGGTTTATCAATTAACAGCAAATAACTTCTTGAAGATATATGTTCCTCCGCTTTTCAGAAAGTAAAATATCACCAGAACACTGCATATAGATTAAAACTACTTGTTCAGATTTATTTGTGTAAAAGGATACATAGAAATAAAAATGCACAACACAATACTAGTTTTGTACAGGTAAGCAGGCACAATAAACAAATGCATGTATCCACTTACAAATTTGAAATGAAATTGGGATCAATCTCACAGCCTTGACCTGGCGGGAACAGGGCTTTAGTGAGTTGTAAATGTTGCCTTGTTTTTGCACCTGGTATAGCTGCAAATATTTTTCTTTTGCCCTTGCATGGGTTTTGAGGTACTAATGGGCAAAAAATGAGCCATGTCCAATCCTCATTGGCACCAGACATTGATCTGCCTATCCAATTTTCCCCTTCAGCTAAGCAAATAATTCTGCTCCATTTATCAAATCTGTTTCCATATCCTTCAATCTCCATCTCCCCTTAACAATGCAGGAAACTCATGTGACGTAAATGTTGAATAGCATCTAAACGGTCAACACTAAGCTAGACACATGACTTTATATGGAGTGGACTTTTTTTATGAGTCAGTGAAATTGAACTCTCTCTTACCTCTATATTTTGTCCTGTTTTTTTTTCTGAATTTTGTTTTCCAAAGGTTTTCATCTTCTCCCTCCATGTTTTCCTTTCTATCCAGCTGCAACAAGACATTTGATAGGATGCGCTGAGGATCAGCTTGGTCTGGAAAGAAAGGAAGTCACTGAGAGTGGCACAGTTTATTTTCCAATGTTTCCCCATTCTTCCACATATTCCTTCACTCTCTCATTCCAGTTTATTTTCCAATGTTTCCCCTTTCTTCCACACATTCCTTTACTCTCTCATTCCCCACTTAACCCTCAACTTCCCACCACTTGCACATCCCCAGCATTTCCTCTTCACTTTGATGTTACCCACTTCACTCTTAACCATCCCTCCCCTCTTGTCTCTCTCTTATTGACTTGACCAGAGGGTGGGTGACAAGAAGACACACCCTAACACTGTGTCCCTGAATGTAATTGCAAGAGACTAGTGTTGGCAACCCTGAGATAAAACTTTACTCCCATGTTCTGATTAAAGACCCCCTTGAATTTTTGTTCTTCTGGTAGAAATTTTGTTAAATGTGGAAATAGTCTTTTCGCACAACAGAGTTGAAACTAAAATCACATCACTAGAAGTGAATTTGCACTCAGGAATCAAATTGGTGAACACACCAATTCCTTTACTGCAAAAGTTTCACATACATCTCAACACTTGTTAAATAATTTTAGCTTTCTTATAGTTTTGTCCCTAATGAGGAAACTATTTAGAAATACATCATCTATACCAGAACCATTACTTTGATCGTTTTCTTCATTGTTTGCGATAATCTTAAAGACTTGGATTGAACGGACATTTTGAGGGAAATAGTTTTAGGTTTATTTGCATGTACAGGTCTAACCATTTACTTTGACTCTGCATAGTCAACATCCTGCCAATTTCGAAACATAAACTGAGGTCGTGCCCCATTCTTCTATTCACTTACTTTATCTTACTTTGTTACCTCAACATTGTCATAGACGTTTACACGAATAAGTCGAC